CGAAGGTGTTGAAAAAAAAAAAAAAAAAAAAAAAAAAAAAAAGGAATGCTCTTCCCAAATCTCTGCATGCCAGGACACAATTGGTATAGTCAAGACCTCATGATGCATCCAGAGCATTCAGGAAGATGTACTGAAACCTGGGTGGTGCTGAAGGACTCTTCACAATCGCTATCGCACTTCTCTACAAGTAACTTATGTTCAGTCCCTTATCCTTGACACATACTTTTCTTTGGTCCACTAACACATGACTGGGTGAAGGCTCCAAAAGCTGTAATTCTGTGCAGAGAAACTGGCTCTAGAATCCGAGTAGAACAGTTCAACTTCAAAACACCACCTTAAGCCAAGAAACTGTGATAGACTAATATGGGAGAACACCCCTTTCCAGCAGTTAGGGAAACTCCAAGGAAGCTCTGGAAGCCCATGTAGCTTGCTCACTCTGCAGCAACATTTCATGCATTTGAAGACTTGCCTCCATCCACTCTGTTTCAAACAAAAGCATCCCAGATTTCTTCATTCTCTATATATGGGAAGAGTTTCTAGAGGTACAACTGTCTCTGTTGCTTCTCACTAGACCGTCTTCACCTGGCCCTCATCTTTCTTGGGATACATCTCCTAGACCACCCTACTGTGTCCTGCTAGAGATGGGAACATCTTCCCCTTCCTATTTTTTTTTTTTTTTGTTGGGACTGCAAAATTGCATTGGATTCCACTTGAAAGCCACATAATTTTGCTCAGAAGGAGACAGGCTGCCCGCTTGTTACCTTCAGGAATGTATCTAAACGCACTTTCTATGTCTGTGTCAAAGTACCAGTTATTTTGAGTTCACCATCCAGAAGCTATAGAAGACATTTGGCGAAAAACACTCGACACGCACTACTATTAAGACTAGAATTAGAAAATTCAGTGTGTTTCCCTGTGAACTGTCACTGACAATTTATTTCTCTAAAGGAAACTCCAACCTTAGAGAACATCAGAGGCAAACAGCCTTGTTCAAAGTTCCTCTTTATCTAGCAGTCACCATCCAGTTAAGAGCATGTGTTCGGGTGTCACCATCTGTCAGCCCCTCCTTGCCAGCTGTTTCAGAGAAAGCGTGTCTGTGCAGCTGTGGACATGTGCCTCAGGCAGTTTCTGGACTGCTGAGCACCTTTCTCAGATCCAACACTGAGAATAGGGCAGCTACTACCATCCAACAGGTCAATACGTTAGTCTAGCTGTGCGTTTTAGACCCTGAATAATAAGAGGTGCAGAAACAGGAATGACAGAGTCTTCAGACCTATTCCGATTTTCATTGTCCACATCCAAAGTCAAAAACAATCAGCTAATTCACTGCAACAAGAATCTTATGTAAAGATTCAGCCTAGGGGCCGTTCACCAAGATCCTGTACCATTAGCTTACAACTTTTGCTCTTTATGCTTCACTGGGCGGGAACTGAAGGCTTTGCACTGCTAGATGCCCACTGTGAACCTTCACCTTCCTTGCATAGCAACAGCTTCCTTCATCCAAAGGCAAGGACTTGCCAGCTACTGTCCAACTGAACTGCTGAGCAGCCAAGGAGAGGAGTGACACAGCAGGTACCTCACTAACAGCAGCTGCTCGTCCTCAAATTTTCCAACAGCTTGTTTACAGCATTAGCCACAGGCCTACCTCTTGAGATTTCTGCTTAAAAATATCCCTGCTTTCTTGACAGGTTCTCTTCATTAGCAAGATTACACATGCAGCTGCAAATGCTCTGTTCCAGGTCAGATTTTCAGCTGACCTTGCTTGTTAATTTGGTGGTGGTCAGCGAGACACACAGGCATCCTCCCTCCTCCCCACCAGAAAGGATGAGCCACTGAGACACATTACAGTACCTGTGGGATAGCACCGTAATTCCAGATATAACCCTTATGGGGAAACACATTCGCTACGTAGCGCAGTTTTCCTTTCTTCACATCTTGCTTAATTGGGTTTAAAGGATCCTTTGTTGCAATCTGAAAGAAAAGTTACGTAAATCTCTCTACTTTGCTCTCTAAGAAAACCCAAGCAATGTCTTTTTTTTTTTTTTTTTTAAATGAAGCTGGCTGCTAACAGGCAAGCCAAGAGACCAGGACCTGACCCTAAAGCCAAGAGTAGAAATTGGACAACTCCCTTTCCTGTTGCATTGCCATCTCCTGGGATGCAGCTTTCAGCAGACTTACAAACGTCAGAAAGCACACGGGGCTGACAGCCATACGATGCTGCTTTAATCAGAAGCCACGGAAGAATGCTAAGTTATTCCAACTTCTGCCAGTCTCAGCCTCCACAGGAGACCTCTAGTATTAAGCAGGTATTTACACGAGAAGCTAGATGTGATGCCTGCAGTATGGCAGGTTTTGAAAGGCCTTATTTATTGGGGCTGAACTATCTTCTTGCTAGCTATGGAGCCAACAGTGTTAGACCACTTCGATTCAGGATGTGGTGGTGAGGAGGCGAGAATCAGCAAAGACAAAGATTAATAGACCAGTCAGCTCAAGCACTTAAGCTAGCAACTGTAGAACAGTTACCTCCATTTTAGCATTTGTCCATCGAGGTACTTCCACAACCATGTTGAACACATTCTGAAGAAAACAAAATATCAGTGAATGGGAAGGAATCTCAAGACCACAGTATGACCTAAGGAACACACATACATAAGCATAAAACCCAGCCAGTTCACATGAAAACCATCACTTTTTTTTCCCAGGGCCAGTTTTGATACAGCTGATAGAAGTCCCATAGTCCTGTCATCACTCAAAGCTAAATCCCACGAAAGACACCGACAAAAGCCAGACTGAGGTTACCCACACATGCTCCATCAGCTGCCGCCTATGAACATCTCCATCACATTCCTAGGCTACGAACAGCAGGTTTAAATGAACTGAAGACAGCTGCATGCAAACTATCCTGGGCATAACAAAATGAGGTTTTAGGCATATTTATTAAAGACAAAGCACTTAATGCTACAGCAAGAGCCACCCTGGCAATTTAGAAGAGACAAGGCTTACAGCAGTCAGCCATCTATATAGTAATGTGGGTACCTATATACTACCCTGAATGACTGAAAACGTCACTCCCAAATATTCTAGTCTGTCTTGAAGTAGGGAGAGATGCCCAAGCTTTCCCTCTGCAAGCCAAGGGACCTTGTTAGCAACATGGTCTGAGGATAAAGATGGGGGGGAGAAATGTAGAACCACATTTTGCAGTATCTAGTTTACAGAGGACGCTTGAAAACATCGCCTATTGACTGCAGCTGGGCTGAGAGGACTCTTCGGAGTTCAATGCCAGAGTCTCCTCCCCTCAAGAAAACAAGCTTTTCCATACTTGAACCTTAACGTTTGCTGTTTGAAGAGATTATGGCTTTTAACAAAAAGTCAAACCTTGTTCCCTAGCATTGACAAAGTTTCTAATCCCCAGGTTAAGCAGCATTAACATTGCAAAATCCCTCGCACCTGTATTGCGCCATAATTAGGTTGCTGTTGTGCAACTTGTGCTGTTACATCATTGACTCTGCCCACACCCTTCTCTAACAGAAGTTTATTACACCCCCTTAATTGCAGGGGGTCACTGCTCATTTGCAATTTAAAAGTGAAGAAGTCTATACTAGTTTTATTTATAAGTAACTCAAGGAAAGGAATGAGCCAATCGGAACTGGCTAGGCAGGGTGCTTACAGCTTTGCCGGCAAGGAAAGACAACTTGGGGATGCATCTTTGTTAGGCTTACCGTTTCCCCACAGTCCAACCGACACATCTGCCTTGGTCTAAGACACCCAGTGAGCAGCCCAAGGTCATTCCGTCGCAATGCCAAGACACACAGGTACAGATAAGGTCAGCACATCCCAGTCTTAGACTGAAAAAAACACCCTGCAATCCTCTCAGTGTCTTAGAAATCTAAGGATAAAGATCAAGGAGCCCAGACAGAGTAAGACAACCTTTTGCTCCAAGCTGGGCTCCCTACTGTAGCTGGTAATGAACCTGCTAAGTAATGAGTAAAATCTCTGTGGAGAGGCACTCAGCAACAGAAAGAGGTCTAATGTGATCAGCGCTATTGTGTAACTTTGGGGACTGCGACCTTCAGTGATACTTGCTTCTCTTAATGACTTGGCACGGAGCTGCTGGCAAGCAGCACTAAGCGCCTGAAGGCGCACCAGTAGTCCAGTTTCCCTTGTTAATCATTACCAGTACGCGGAAACCCTCCTCACCCCTATACTCACTCCCCTGCTCCGTTCTGCAAGCATCTGCAAAGCGTAGTATTATCTGCATTTTCCTTGTCTGAGTTACCTTTCAGACACCTGCTTTTGAAAACTGCTTTTCCAGTTGGCCACAGAAACTGCTTCACCACAGTCCTTGACAATTACCATCAATCTTTTCCCTTCTTGGCAGGCAAAAGCCACCTCAGACTTCGCAGAGCATATTCTGACAGCACTTGCACCTCAAAGCTCAATCAGCTACTTTTTAGAGGGTCATCTTTCAATTCTGCATACTCTTTTTCTTTCCCATAACCACCCTCTAAATCACACCTCTTTATCAGGAACATTAGAACAGTTCATTTGCTACGTTTCTCAAGCTGCACAGCTTTTTAGTATGTGTTAAAAGAAGAAACGAGCTACAAAGGTGAGGAACACAGAGTTACCACTGAAAAAGCATTCAGTGAAAACCAAAGCACAGCTGTTTTGGTTTCCTAGAGCTGGGGCATTTTAGATTCCTAACAGCCTACCTTGGCTAACCGCTGGCTACTGGAAGGATGTAAAAGCCCTGCAGCACTGCATGCGGCAGGTTCCCCACCTGCGCTTTTTGGTGAGGCAAGAGGTCCCCAGGAGCTGCTACAGCAAGAATTTAACATCCTTCACCTTCTTGTTCCATGGCTGGTTATACTGCGGGCATAAAGTGGCCTTACTGCTGTCAAAACCCACGCCTGAAATATCAAGCAGCCTGAGCGTACACCTCCACAGTAGCTGATGCAGAGATTTAGCTAAATGAGAAACTGCTTCTTTTAACCCAAAACGCTTTCATGTGACCTCATGGGCAGGTTCAAGACAACCACTCGTATCTCAGACATGAATATGAGAATGAGGTCATCCGTTCTCTCTTCCTGCATCGCTCTACCCGAGGCCGAGACTGCGAGAAAAGGGCACCCATTCTTTGCAAGATCTGGCGATGCTTCTGCCGAGAAGCAGCATAAGGAACCGGGAGCCTCCCTGGGGTATTTCAGGCTTGCAGGACCGCACTCCCTGAGGAGCACCGGCACAAGGCTGACACCCAGCGCCCAG